GTATACAAACAAGAGAGACGGGGGGGGGGAGGAACATGATTTAGTATATTTAACATCAAGGGAATTTAAGAAGAAGAAACGCAAATTGTGGAAGGCTAAATATTTACCAATGGAGACTAGAAAACAAAAACATCTAAACAAACTGCTCAATGGCAGAGCTGTTTAAATATTTAAACAGGACAACATCGTTTCCACGCCTGGACCCGGGATGGTGGAAAATGATGCAAAGTACCTGATCTACTTAATCACACAATCAGAATCACCAAATGGCTTTGTCTGCCTTTTTCCTATGCAGGACTAAGCATCAGGTTTGCTTTAAAGTTTGGTCCCCTCAACAGCTCATACTCTCTATTGCTTATCTCCCCTTCTGCTCCGGTTAGCTGATGAGCGATGGAAATATTCTGTACTTCTGTGAATGAAGGAGCATTCTGGTAAAGACACTGGTTCAATTTAAAGCCCGTCCCTTGAGCCTCATTTGCTCTTTTACTCCAAGTAGTCAGCATAAGTGATGGCAATAAGGAGGAGAATGTGACAATGCCGAATGCCAATGTGTCCCAGGCACACTCCCTGTATCCAATATGCCAATTGGAAGAAGATTTGGGTACGATTCATCGAACATGCATGCAAAATGTGGTGCCTGTTCTGAAGCACTGGTAAGAATGATTTAATTTCTATGGCAGACCTTCATCAACACCTACCTAGTATCTAGTAAAACGTCTCCTGTAACCTAAGCCTGGGCAGTTTGAAGCTGGTAGTCACTAGCACCCCAAAAATTGGGTAAAAGGAAGCAAGATTTCATGGGGCAATAGACAACCCAACCTTTCATACATTTTTCACACGAGTTAGTTAACATTTGCTCCCATGCAGATCGCACATATTTGGTTAATTCGATAGGTACAAAGATCTGTGACCAGGGGGGGAAGCAATTTATACTGTTAAATCTATAACAGAATGAGACAAGTAATGAGCTTTATACAAGCCTGAATACCTTATTTCTAGGCCCCATAACACCCCATATGTCAGACTTCATCATTTTACAGGTCAGATGTGAATTATGACTTCTCCTTCATATTTAATACAAAAAAGTACAAGAACAGACATGTGCAAGTTAATATAACAAAGTTGATGAAGAGTTAGATACCTTCTCTACAATAACGAGGTCCCCGACTTGTATACTGGAACTCCGAGCCTTCACTGTGCCTGATAAAAAAGAAAAATAGTTAAATATGTTTTGTTGTTAGGAGAAAGGCTGCTCATGGAAACCTAAAATGTAAAAAAAATTAAAACCAGCAAACAAAAGTAGGCCCTGGTTGAAAATTTCTAAATAGTTGTGCAAGTCATACATTGTATTAGGGCTCCTTCACAATAAGGTCCTACTCCAGCCATTCTCAACCACGGTTCAATGAAATCCTAGGGTTCCTCAAGTGGTTGTGAGCTGTGGCTGATTGATCTCCCATCTGATGGTGCCTCCATAGTTTCCGGGCCAATGTCACTTAGCAGAGCAAGCTGCAGGACACCAATGATCTTTTTAGCTGTCCATAAGGGTGACATTCTGACCTCCACTATACGGGCAGCATCCTGTCCACCTGTCACTGATGTAAGGGGTATTTTCCTCCTGACCCCTAATGAACTGGTTTTAGCAGAGATTCCCTAAAACCAAACATTATTTTAACGGTTCCTCTGGGCTAAAAGGTTGAGAAAGGTTGTTCTCATCTATGAGAGTAACATTGATGAGAATAGGACCACACTTCCTAGAGTTCCTTAAAGTACTTTATATACTACATAAGCAATGGCAAATGTATGCAACTCGTACTTCATTTGGGCCCCAAAACATATACAGACGGTTACTGACAACTTTTTCTGAAAATACCAGCTGCCCATCTGGCAAGTTGATCCACTTATTTCAATATTTTCTGGGCCACTCAACCAAGTATGGAAGCATCAGAAATTCTGACTTGAATTTTGACTCAGTGTGCAGACAGAGGACAAACATGACAACCAAGCAGCTAGACTGCTCATAAGAGATCAGAATTGGCAGCCTATGTATTTTTTTCAGCAGAGATTTATTTTTTGGCTGGCTAGAAGGCTGAGCATTGGGAAACCAATAACAGAACTCCAGAGGAACCAGGGGGAGGGTGCAATGCTACTGAGCCCTAAATCAGGTCACCTTCATGGAAGATTGGGGCGCATAACACAAGACGAGGTTCATCCTATGCTCCACACACTACCCAAATCCACAAGCTGGCTCTAGCAATTGGCCCGGATGGGCTCCCTGTGCTCCTTCCCCAGACTTGGACAGGAAAACAGGAACAAGCATTGAAATAAAAAGGCCCCCAGCCTGACCTCTCGTTGTGAGCTTGCTGTAGATCTGCGAGTTGACTTCTTTATCCCTCATGAAGCATCTGATCTCCTCCACAGCCTCGCGGATGATGGTGACGGCCAAGACAAACCCCTGTGAAAAGAACGTATGCAGACTCATTTAGTCATTCTTTATAATGGCAAGATTTTTAAAAACCCTAACAAGGGTCTGTTTTGCCTAACACAATGGAAATCACATGATTTGTACCTGTTCTTACCCACATGCTTTCCTTCGCATTTGGCACAATAGTTGAAAGCCCTTGTGCATTGTGGGCGTGCTGTTCATACCGCTCAATAAACCCTACAGCAGCTGGCTGTATGTCTCCCATTATAGCTATGCCAGCTGTAGCCTGCAGCTTAACAGGGTCTGTATCTGAGCCCTTGTGGTCAGGACCGTCCCTACACTGAGGCAGCCTGAAGCCATTTCCTCTGGCGGCATCTCTTTGGGTTCCGTGAGGGTGCATGGTCACTCTGCTGTAAAAGGTTTGCAGTGTGCCTGCCACAACCTTTCAAGCCAGAGCGTCTCAGGTTGCAGAGAGCCAGGCGGGGAGATATATAAGGGCCATACACATCTCCCCGTCTAGCTCTTAGCAACCTGAGACGCTCTGGCCGGTGTCCTGCCCAGCTCCTGCCAACCAGTGATGTCAGTGAGCTTGGCTGGACCCCGGCCAGAGTCGGAGCCAGAGCTCTTAGTGATCCACCACAACCACAAGAGATGCCCCTGCTTACAGTAAAAAGGTGGCAAGGTTAAAGTTCAATGCTAGAGCTTAAAAAACATTTTAAAATAATTTGCACTTTTGATCTTTTTTTTTTAAGAGCTGAACATTCATAATGCTGCGAGTTCAATAATACATCATTAAATGCAACTGAATTTGACCCGATATCAGTCTCTTTGAATCAGCACTCAGGCTACTAGAGGAAGGGCCAAATGTGTTGACAAGAGCTATGCTGGTAGGAAGAGTGAGCAGAGAGGTGATGTCCGCTGCTGCTCCTTTACTGTCCATTCAGCAGGCTAAGGGTGGATCGAGAACACCACTGTGTTCCTTAATTGAAGAGGGTGCAATCCACCACCTGTGCTATGGCCGAGCTGTGTAAATCTCAGGACAGGTTGTAAAGTCTTACATATTCTGTAGTAGGCAAAACATCTCCATTATATTTATATGTTTTAGTTGTTTTCCTTCAGCTCTAAAGCATGCTAAAGCGGCTTATCAAGTAATATCTCGTAATACTGTTTGTGAGGCCATTGGTCACATGACCACATTATCCATTTTTTTATTTTTAGAAACAGCCCCTCAAGAATTTACCAACAGAATTCAAGAAACTGGACATTAAGCCATTTTTAATCTACTCACCAAAGGAACCCAGAAGGTATAGAGGGGTCCCAGGCGCATCTCGGGCACGAACTGCGAGCAGGCCAGCAGCAGGAAATACAGGTTGAAGAAGTATTTGAACTGATTAAAGAGAACCTGAAAAATGGAGAGAGAAAGATAGCAGATTGTCATTACTAACTGAACAGCCATATGCAAATATCTCTTCTCCCCTTCTAGAAACCATATTGAATGGTAAATGCCAGCAACCAACCAGATGCTTGTTCCCATTTTCTTTCTTCAACCAGAAAAATTGTAGTCCATATTCAACTGATTTATTGCAATATAAACACTGGCCTCTCCTTAAGCTTTTTTTTTTTTTATATTCTTTTTTTTCACAAATACAGGAACATAAAATAATGCAAGCGTACATGTCATGTGACACATATACAAGTACACAGTACTATAGCAAAGAGTACCACAGTATGGGAAGGGGTTCAGTGGTAGGTTGGCGTAGGGTGAGAGTTGTTTCTTGAAGGCATAATGCCAACTTCCCTACTCAGTTATTGAGGGGGTCGGAGTCTGCTAATGTGGTTCTGGTCAGAGGAGAGGAAAGACTGTGTGGGGAGTGGGTACTAGGGTAGGTGAAGGCTCTCCTTAACCCATAACTCAGCATACTTGGGACCTTATTAAAGCTCAGCTTACAAACAATCACTTAGGCTGATAAGGTTTTATGATGAAGCAAAGAGCAATGTGCAAAGTCATGTAACTGAACTAATCACAATCTTTAGGTATACAGACAGACAACTGTAAACTGTCTGTATAACATAGCCAGCCATAGAGTCATCTCTATCTAAGGCTAGCCATAGATAGAGAAAAGTCTCCCCAATAACCATATGCCCGTCCTCGAAAACATTGGGGGCTGTTGTCATATATATATCTATATAAGGATGTGGCCAAAACGTGGGAGAGCCCTCAACCTAGTACTCGTTGGTCAGCTTCGGCTCACCAAAGAGGAGAGGAGTCTAGCTGGCTTTGGCTAAGTGGACTAGAGAGCTGTCAGAAGCCTTGCACCCCGCGGGGGGTCAGGGAAGGTCCCTCTTTCTTCCAGAGATGGACCAACTGACAAACCCCATCGAACCTTTTTATGAGTGTGTTCACATGGTAGTTTTGCAAAGAGCAGAAACTACAAGTCTCCTCGTCTCTACCACCGCCAAGCCATTGTCTTGTGACTGGTTGCGGTCTATAATCCCACTTTATGACTTTGCCACAGGCTGCTAAAGGAGAACTCCAGACAACAGGGTAAAGCAATACAGGGCCCGCTAATACTATTCAGGCAGCAAAGTTGAAAGGTCCACTCAGGTGAGTTTTACTTAATCCTCCTTGCAATCAGCAGATTTTTTCACAGTCCTTTGTGGTAAGACTTACAGGGTAATTCACAGAAGGGTGAAGAGTTTGGAGAAGGCCGGAGAAGGGAACATTCTAGGGGAACATAGCTGATTTGGAAAAATTCTCCAATTCAGCAATGTTGTCCTAGATTGTTCACTTCTCCGGCCTTCTCCAAACTCTTCACCCTTTTGTGAATTACCCTGTAAATCTTCCTGTCACATGGCTTTGGGTTATACAACCTCTTATATGGATCACTATAGTGGTACTTGGAACTAGTGAGCCAGACAAGTACCAGTCCACACACACACACAATAAAGTTTATTAATGTTATTGACAACTATAGCGGTTTGGTTAGCAGAGCAGCTAGGTACAGTATATGATGATAATTGGAACCACACAGCAGGTGAACTCTTCACTGACTCCAAAATGTCCGTGTCTGAATGCAGGAAACATTTTAAGTGCAGCTCTAATGATTTGGTCAATTTGCTTTTTTTGGATTGTTTACATGTTTAAAAACTGATCTTTTATGCCATTTTTCCTTTACTGTAACATTTTTATGTTATCAATAATAATTTACTACAGGATGCCTTAAAAACACAGAAGGGAATTCATCAAAACTGGAGCAGACAAAATCTTGACCCGTTGCCCATTGTAACCAATCAGCTTTTATCTTACATTTTCAAAGCTTATCTGAATATCCTAAACAGAAAAGCTGAATGGTTACTATGGGCAACTGCTCCAGATTCTGTCTGCTCCAGTTTTGATAAATTCCACCCCCATTGTTTTATTGCATACTAGGCTTTCTAATAAGAAAGACCAGAACCAGCTGCTCACTTTTTTTCTAATTAGATTTCATAGGAGCAATATGAGCTGGAAGAGTGGGGATTCTCTTATTGTGAGTTCTCCCTGTAAACGGTTAAAAAATAAATATTTAGATGCAACACGTCATAGTTCTAGCCTAAAAAAGATCTAAAACAAGTTACATTTTGTATTTGTACCGCTGAGAATAATGAATAAGTTTGAAGGCTGGCCGAAGGCTAGCCTGGATTTGTGGGAGGAGCCTGTGCCTTTAAAGACGGCACGGCTCACAGGGGATTCACGTCGGCGGGTCACGAACGTCCCCACCCGCCCATTCCCCTTGCTTTCATTCATTTCATTTACAATCAGAGTATGCCCCCTTTTAGGGGCAGCGGGGTATCACTTACTTGATAAGGCTCGGACCACAAAGTCAATGTATATAAAAAAAACACTATGCACTCCCTTTTAAATAATTCCTTTGCATACTAAAGCCTGTTTCCAGTATGTGCTCTCTTTAAAATGTAGATTAAGGTTCCATAAGACAACGTACTGAGAGAGGGAGACAACACAGATGTTACTAGTCGCTGGGTTAGAGGTTACTTTGTTGATGCAGTTAAACCTCCACTTGTTTAAAATACTTAAATATAGAAAAAGTCGATCGATTATGCCCATAGCTGTGTACCCTCCCCAGCCATGTGACAATTAGGGTCCCCACAGCCCCGAGTCACGGCTCCGGGAGCTTGGAGTGTCAGAAAGCAGCGGGGCGCTAATGACACAAATGCTACTCCTCTATTTTTGTTTTAAACACAGTGGCTGATGGACCCACAAACACGCCACAAAATGAAGCGTCAGAACACTTACTTCAACGTGCAAGCTTCCAGGTTTAAGATAATACACAACACTCCATCCACAGATGGCTGATTCGGGCCCCGGGGTGGTAATTATTCCACATCGGGAGCCTGCTGTGAGGTCAGGGGGTCACCTATGAATTGGGTAAGTGTGGCCTGCAGTTATAGAAGTTTTAATTTATCATTGTGTTAAGAGCGAGTAAACTCAGTTTTTATTGCATTCATACTTCTGCCATTTAGAAAGCATGCCAAGGTCCCGAAATTATCATCAATAACTGGAAAAGATCATTTGGTCACTAATTAAGTTGCGGTAACAAACGTCTGTGCAACATGTGTCCCCTGGTTCATTCATTTCAGGCACAGCGGGGGGGCTCCAGGCCTAGGGGAAGACTACCAAACTAATTGTATTACTGTAAACACACAGCGTGTGTGTCTCTGTAATGGATCCTTTCTGACAAAAATAAATGTTCCATTTATAGGCGGTTTAACACTGCACCGGCAAAATGCAAAACAGGATGTAAAATAGCAACCAGTCATTAGACACTTAAAGTGACACCAAACTCAGGAGTTAGATCTTAAAAAATACATTCGAGTTCCTTAACTCTGAACAACAAATTTATCATATTTGTGTATCACTCGGCTGTAGATCCTTCAATCATCTCTGAATTGGTGGAGACACTGTCCTTCCTTCTGGAGGGGGACTACTTGTGTTCCCCATGGTCCCTGTGGGTGTTGTAAAGTAGTCACCGCTCCGAGCTCGCTCCCAGGATGGACTACAATCTCATGTTTAGTTTACTGATTTGTATTGAGATTGTAGAAATCCGGGAAGAAAATGCAGAGAAGGTAAAATCTCACGAGGAGACACTCCAGGCCATTCCAGAAATGTCTTCTTATGAGATTTTGGCTGGTCTGTATTGCCGGTGTTCTAGCCTGAAGCAGTGTGATGCCATCTTTGCATAGATGATGAGGGTGAGGTAGGTGTAATCCACCAACAATTAACGCTGGTCTCCCAGTGCTGGTCACTTCTGCTTCATTACTATGCAATTCCTGAATACCACACAGGCCTGCCTCTTCTGTATTCAATGTCATACTGTATGACACCTATGACCCAATGATTGTTGATGACATTCCGTGGATAGCGTTGTTCTCTCTTCTCGGGATGTCCAAGCCACACAGTACGCGGCCTTAGTTCTCCGCGGCCACAGCAACCCATACAGGAGCAGCACCTGTTAATACAACAAGGGGGACAGTTACTTTAGATGTCACTGTGCACTCATATGGCCAATTGAAATCAATGTTTTTTTAGGCTTCACTGCACATTGTTAGGTTTACCCCATGATGAGTTGTTAAGCCAAACATCTATCTATCATGGGTACCCTCCTCTTTTAGATAGTAAGCCCTCTGGGGCAGGGTCCTCCTTACCATCTTGTCTTGAATTGTATTGTAATTGTAATGTCTTCCTTATATTGTAAAGCGCTGCGCACACTGTTGGCGCTATATAAATACTATGTAATATAATAATTATAACAGCCAGCTCAGCTTTAGACATTAGCTATTAAAGAATTATTAAAATACCGCTAGATAAGTGAATACAAAACTAAAAAACAAAATAAACCTAAAACATTCATCCTTCAATGTGACAAATTTATATTTTTCTTTATATGATGTATTCAGGAAATAATTCTATCTAAGTTAATAGTAACTGAGCACACACATAATTGATACAATTTATTTAATCAACACTAACCATTTATTTAAAAGCAAACACGGCATGTGTAACAACACGGTTATGTATTTATATAATAAAGGGAAACATACAACAGCAATCATTCAGGTTGTTTTCTAAGAGGCTGCCACAGATATCTGGACATGAAAGGCCTACAGTATGTTGTACTCTTTAGGCCCGGTGTAGACCTGAGCAATCCGGGATTGCGCGGTCCTGCACAATTGCAGACAGCGATTGCCGCGCGGCCCCATTGATTTCAATGGGGAGACATACGCGGGGCAAATCACAGGAAAAAAAAAAAAAAGGTACATGTACCTTTTATTGCGATGCACGGCTGTTATAGCCGCGGCGGGAAACCACGCGACCCGCCTGGCGCGACTGGGGTGCCATTTGAAAATAACGGCACCCACAGCGTGATCCATCTGTGATGGCCGACTCCGTGACCACGCGGTATTGTGCATGATTGCCGCGTGGTCACAGATTGCCTAGGTGCACCGGCCCTTAGGCTATGTTCACACCTAGGCGGATTATTGCGCGGATCCAGCTGCGCGTTATCGCACAAAACAGAGATTTGCATTCAAGTCTATGGAAGCTATTCAAATTTTTGCGAAAATTGCCTGTCATGCAAAAAGGTGCAGGAGCTATTTTCGGTGGTTGTCACGCGGTTTGGGTCCCATAGACATCTCTACGCATTGAAAACCAGTCGACAACCGCTCAGTTTTCAAAGCAAAATCGTGCAAACAAAAACGCACGACAACCGTGCAAAAACAGCTCACCAGCTCAAATCGCTTTAGGTGGGAACCTAGCATTATAATCGCCAGGTAGTGGAATTAGGAAATGAGGACAAAGTGATCCTGATTTTAGTGTGGGCTCAGATGTATCGGGATATCTTTTCTATAAGATCCCTTTAATGTCTAAGGCTGGCCAGGTATACACACAAAGATTTCTCAGATTCAGCCTCAAAATTAGGATTCCTCAATCCATGCTGAATATAGTGTGGCTGGAGGAATCTGCAATGCCAGCTATTGTATTCAGGCAGTCAAAGCACCCGCAGGGCCCTGCATACCCGAACAGTGACTGCATCTGTTGTGGTGCAGTCACTATTCAGCCCAAGAGTTTTTAAATCAACATTCGTTTAGCTGGGTGCTGCTGATAGGGCCACCCACAGCTCGAATTTTGGCTTATTCAGCAGAAGTCAGTTGCAAGTCGAGCCATGAATGGCTAGAATAACAGCCCATCTATGGGTGCACCTATGAGTGTATCCTGCCTGATGCCGGTAGTCTACAAGTCTATGTGCCGCTGTGGGAAGAGGATCCTTAGAAACGAACGGGTTTCCTGATACTGACCACAGTGGACCATGCTTGAGTAATGTACGTTTAAATGGCTACTTGTTTTACCCATCAGAAGCCAGTATGTCATGGTGGACAAGGGAGACAGGGTGTTGTCACCCTATACCAGGGAGTGCCTGAACAAGGACATTCATGGCAGGATCACCAGGGATTTTTATGAAAACTGTAGATTTAAATATACAGCAGAAACATAAATATGTTAAAAGGAGAATTATGAGGAGAGTGAAAATAATTGAGCCTCATAATCTGAGCCGACCTGTGACAATGAGACTGTCACAGGTCGGCTCAGTAGATCAGGAAGTGAGCGAACGCATACCGTTGCTCACGTCTCGATCTATCCCTACAGAGAGCCGTGACTGTCACTCACGGCTCCCTGCAGGGATTCCCCCCCCCCCATCCTCCAGCGCTGACTGGCGGAACGGACGGGGGAGATGGCTGTAGCTCACGGTATACTGAGCTTAGGGTGACGGGAGGACGCTAGTTTGTGTTCTCCCGTTACCCTTAGGAGAACTATGGGGAAAAGCCCTAACCCCATAGTTCTCCTTTAAGTCCTAAGTGACATTTTTGTGATTGGGGTCATTTTCTAACAAAACGAGGGATTTAGGAAGGTGATAGAGCGCCCGTTGTCAACTACTGTACTGCAACACCCTAGGGGGCCTTTCTGGCTTCTTCAGCCCTCAGCAAGGCCGGACATCTCCCAGGAGCCAGGCCACCAATGGGCCTGCAAACATTTTACAGTTTATTCTAGCAAGACAGACTAGCACAGTGATGGTGAACCTTGGCACTCCAGCTGTTTTGGAACTACAAGTCCCATGAGGCATTGCAAGGCTCTGACAGCCACAGACATAACTCCCAGAGGCAGATGCATCTTGGGATTTGTAGTTTTGGCACAGCTGGAGTGCCAAGGTTCGCCACCACTGGACTAGCAGTTTAGACTAGCAAGATAGTGAAGCTTGGCCCAGCGGGAGATTCCTCCATTCACACAGTTCAGCGTAGACGGAGGAATCTGTTGCACTTTTTCCATCTGAGCATAGAGAGTCTGCAGATAATCTATAGGTGTACGGCCAGCTTTAGGATGGACTGACTGGAGCAGAAACTCTTCATTATTTCCCTAAGCCTGACATGCCATTCTCTTAGGACACAACAGCACATGAAGGTGATTGGGCTGTGTAGCCGCCGCGTGTAGCTCTTGTGTTCTGGAATGTTTGTATAGTGAGCTGGCAGCTACAGGCTGGGATAACACAACAAAGAGTCACTCAATAGATCACGTCATGCGAGGTGGCTCGCTGTCAGCCGTAGTTTTGTTCCAGGATCAGAAACTTCCGCACTGTTTTGCTTTAACGAAACCTGACCCATACCTGACACAGACCGTGCATATGATAAGGTGCACCAACCCCTCAGGAAACAGTTTTGAGTATTTAATAACTATTAAAAGTCACGTAAATCCCAACAGTGAACTCCTATTTCCTTCTTGTTAATATCATTGAAAGCGTTTTGTTAGATCTGTTTAAGAAGTGCAAAAGAAAATCCCTGTTGATCCTGCTAGAAATCTTGTGAGCTGATAACTTCCTGTGCGCTCTTTACCAGTACTGACTGCTATCAGTTACAGTGTTTCTAGCTACCTATAAGGACTACAAAACCAAACACTTCTGTGTTATGGAGCGAGAAGTGGAGGTGTTCTGTAGTCCTCTCTCAGGGGTAGTTCACACCAGCCCCAGTGCTTTCCAGCAAGATTCAGTGCCAGAACGCACTGGATCGCATCCCAGCCGGCTCACTGCTTTCTTTCGCGGGAGGGGGCATGACGGGGCATTGAAGTCAATGGCACTGCAGGCACGCCCCCCGACCCCGGCCACAGTATGATCGCCTGCACTGAAACACGTGGCACATCAATGCCTGTGTTCCGGTCCAGTGCAATCAGAAAAAAAAATAGAGCTTGCAGCTATTTTTGGATCGGACTGGACGGTAACGCAAGCATTAGTGTGCCATGTGTTCTGGTGCGGGCGTTCGCATCTGCAGCCGGGGCACATGGCTGCGGTGCCATTGACTTGCACCCCTCCCGCCGCAGAACGCAGTGAGCCGCCCCGGGATGCGATCCAGTGCGTCTGGGCAATGAATCGTGCTGGAACGCACTGGGGCTGGTCTGAACTAGCCCTTAGGGTAACAACTCAGCTCTTCCATAGATACATTAGGGTGAGTTAGTGTTGTCACCCTATAACAAGAAATGTGTCACTTGCAGGATCGCCAGGAGAAAATAGGAAACAAAAACTAAAATAAAAGGAAACGAATGCAGCCGCCACATGTGAGGACAGGTAAGCTGCAATATGGTACATTTTTATTATTTAGGTGAAGATTTGGACTTGACTTAACACATTCATACCAGAGGCAGGATAGCCATCCTTGCAAATATCCTAGACCGAAAGAATGTTCTAGTGGAGACCAAATCTTGTTACACTTCAACTAAGGAGAATGTGTGTGTTGCAAGACGAAGTGTTATACATTCTACAAGTGTATGTGCTGCTGTGCGCGGAAGATCATTAGAAATTAATGGATATTCCAATGGTGACAACAGCGGACCGTGTCTCTGTAATGTGTGTTGAAACAGCTACTTGCAGTCCTAATCGGAAGCCCATGTGACAGGGTGACAATGCGGAAGCACAACTGGGAGACAGAGACAAAAGCGTTGTCACCCTATAACAGGAAGTGCCTGAACAAATGTATTCATAGCAGGATCACCAGGACATAGTTCAGTGAAAGCTGCAGATTTACAAATGCTGAAAATGACATACGTAAATTAACATGCATTCTTGTGATCGGGATCTTTAGTTAGGTGTCTTCACATCAGCAGGATCCGGGGACATCGATATCACTATTTGGTTAAGGTTAGAGGTCAAACCATGTTGGGCAGAAATGGAAATTAATTTTTTGTTTTGTTATTTCAGCTCCAGACTTACAGTGCCAAAACAAAACGTAATGCATATCACCGGATCTCTGCAATCTGGAAATATGAAACCCTATTTGTACTGTAATGCTGCTGCATGGAGATGGCAATAAACTACCTGTTATTCCTGTCCTGCCGGTCAGTAAAAACACTTGGAAAACAAGATGTCCCCGTCACAGGCCAAAGACAATATCAGCTCCTGTAATGGTCTTC